TGTTGTATTAAATAAACTTCTACTGGCGGGCATGGCCGAGTGGTTAACGCTTCGGACTAGTAATCCAAAGTTCGCTAGCCGCATGGGTTCAAACCCTGACAGGGACAAGTCGTTGTTTCCTTGAGCAACAAACTTAGCACACATTGCTCAGTACTGGTTGATTCTAGAAAGGTATTTGAAAAGTGTGTTTTTAAGCTAATAGCTTCCTACACAATCGAACTAAATAAATTCTGTAGAAACCAAATAAACTACTTAAAACGACTGTGACAAAACTAGGTTACTTGAAATATGCACGTGGCTTGCTAGTACTTCCTAGTATTAAATGTAAAACAATTACGTAAAACTATAATATTAACCTGGTGTATACACACATGCAATTGTTAAGAAAAGAAACAGAAAGTCAAACAAGCTTCATTTTTGTTTGATTAATACCTAAAGAAATAAATATTTTGCAAAATGCGAATCAGGTCTTTTTCAAAGGTTTATGTTTCCAAGGTTTATCTCGCATTGATAATTCATATATCTTAGTCAAAATGTATATAAAGGGTGTTAATAAACTGTTACATTTGTTCATTCATTCAGAGTTCAAAGATGCAGAGCAACGATACTGTCAAATTCAAGAACACATTGAGTCGAACAAAGTGGGAAATTTTAGAAATGCTTACGCCTAGAGTACAAAACTTCAACCTGCGAATATTTGACTACTTGACTCAGGCTATATTCCTGACAGGCATGACAGGCATCGCGAGTGTAGGAATAATATTTGCTATTCCATATCTGTATAGTAACTATAATGACAATGTTATTTTGTGCTTACGATTATTTGGAGTTTTCATAGTTTTTCAATTAACTGTGAATTGGTTGTGTATAAAATACGTTGATACAAGTTATAAGCCGTCACGTGACGGTATTATTCCGGACGGGATTTCAATTGGACAGAAAATATGCCACACTGTTGACAATAACCATAATGACAGCACCATGCGATCCCGAAAAGACGCTACATCACTCAACATGGAAATTAATGACTCACAAGACAGCTTTATGTATGTCGCTAGTAAAGTACCCAGAACCCACACGGAGCCACCCGAGAGGACCCAATACCCATATTTCTCGTGGGCCTCGTGTTTACAGTGTAACAGACCCCGCCCACCAAGATGTCACCATTGTCCAACATGTGACAAGTGTGTAATGAAGCGAGACCACCACTGTTATTTTACCGGGGTGTGTATTGGGGGTAGGAATCTCAGACATTTTACCGTATTCGTATTTTGGGCTCTCATGGGCGCTTTATTTGCAAGCGTACACTGTCTGCCATTTTATTACTACGATATTCTTCCATACACCAGTTACTTTGACTTGATTTTCCCAATAGTAATAACTCGTGCAGTATTCGGATACATTGATTGGATATATGCATGTTGCATAGTGCTCGGATGGCTACTGTTACTGTTTTTACTTATTGCCAACACATATCTGAAAATAATAGTTGCCGGTATAAGCACGGGTAAAACTTCCTTTGAAATGGATTTCGACATTTATATTACAGATACAAGGGGCAAAAAAGATAAATTAATGTCAGTGTTCGGACCCCATTGGAAACTTAACTTTTTGTTTCCTCTTCATTTCATATATGAACCAGTAGATGATACTGTAAGGTGGCCAACAATAAAAGCTTGATCTTGATCATAAAACTTCATGTTGGGTGATCACTTGACACATGTTTTCTGTAACATTGGGTCACCGCAAATGGCTACACTCGAAGGTATTTGCTAATTTCTGGTTATATCTTTCAATATTTGAATAATAAACATACGAGTATACCATGTTCTAGACAAGTATTTGCCGATTCCAACTGCACATTTTTTAGCTTTTATACTTTTCTCGACATGATTGAAGAAATTGTGACCACAATGTTACCACATAATTTCGTAAAAATATTACGTATACTTCAAAGAAACATGACTGAAATCATAGCGGAAAAAGGTCTACAATGGACAGTTTGGAAACGGCAAACACTTGCCTGGGGCATGACACTTTTTATTTATTTAAATGTTATTGAAAACTATAACGAAAAATTAGCGAAACAAACTTTAATGTCTTGGGTGCAGCTATTAGAGGTGACCGAAAGTTATCGTTAACTAAAATCACTTAATCAACAACTCTGTGACTTTATGTAAAGAATTATTTGGAAGTACAAATGTATATTTTGAGTGCATTGATCGAATTATAGATTACATTGTAAAAAAGCTGTCAGAACTAATTTATATAATAAGTATGTTATATTTATTTTGCGATTTGTCGAATGCTAAATAAATTAAAAAATATAAACAACCATCACTGTTTTTTTCTCCATATCTCTTATCAGAAATTGTACAGGTACTCTGAAAAGTTTATAAAGGAAAATAATCGAAATTTATATAGAATTTTAAACCGTTATAGAATAATCAATTCTAGGTGAATGCTGATTTACATTTACTCTAAATGTAAGGGGGCGTCAGTGGTTCAAGTTTCGACAGTGACTTTGGATTCTTTCGTGTGAGCTAGCTAGTTTACGCAACGTCTTTGGTTCTACTCAGGTGTCCATTCGTGCCTAAATTAATGCAATTAATACATGGAAGAGCACTTGAGGTCTTCTCCCACAAGCAATGCTAGAATTCGCTATGCACTGTGTTGTTGCGACCTAAACCCCAATCATTTAAAAAAAATGAAAAAAAATCCACTAATTCGTAGACATCAAACTTGAACATATATTTGTACGTACATTTTACATTTTATCTCAACGCACAAAATAACTCAGAATTAAGTACACGGACATGCAAATACTGCTTTTGTTTGTTATTTTTGTTAAATTTAAGTGATACGGATAAAATTTTCCCAGTCGATTACGAAAAATCAGTTAGTGTTACCGATTGAAAGTGTTTGTCGCATAGAATCACCAAGATATATGTGTAAGGTAACACAGATATAGTAAACTGTTATTAAGCTTCAAGCCGTGGTGAAATTTGCCTAATTGACAGTAATTCAATTTGTACAATCAGTCTATAAATTTTACGAGCAGTGCTTCAGTGATTAAGGTGTCTACTCGTCAACATAGGCATCATTGGTTCGAGTCTTACTCGATGATGTGCTTGTTTCTGGTAAAATTATAGTTCAAATTTTAAAATAAATAAACAAAATTAAAAAATAAAATGAAATAAAAATACAAATAAAATACTGTTCAATTTCCTGAAAATAGCGTCCTTATGTTGGAGGTTAACAAAGATATGTTAAACCGGAAAACGACAGATCATTCTATACGATGCACATGTTGGTGAACCATATGAAATATGATAAAGAAGATCAACAAGGAATGGCGGCGTTCAATGAACGCAACCCCACACGACCCAGCAACAAGAACCAGTGGCAAGGAGCCCAGGCGGACCCCAAACAAAACCAGGACAAGGAAGTTGTTCCCTATGAATGATTACGTTACAGTCATTCTAATATGTGACCTGGGATCAGTTTTAAAAATTAAGCCAAGCTCTTGTTGATCGGATGTATAGTAGTATACCTCAATGAAGAATGTATTGAATGAATCGCACAAATTATACATCTTCAACAAATTGAAATTTATCATACATTGTATTTATCTCCCTTTCATCCTTGTCATACTCAACATATCCTGACGTCTCCTTAACTGCTGCTTTTTCAAATACATTGTATAAGTCATTCAAGTGGAGACAACAGTCACATTGCTTTGGTCAGTAAACAAAGAAGAAATGCTCTGTATATATTCTTCATTTCTCTATTGAATGACGAGCAAAATAAGAATACATAAATATCAAAGATATATACAACGACAATTCAACAAACATAATACAATATTATGCCAACAAACTGGCTAAATAATAACAACACTGTCCTAAATCTTTGAAACTACAAAAAAAATTTCTGTCGACAATTTGATACCGTAAATGTCTATTTGCTTTTCCAATCAACAGTTAGATAGATAGATAGATTGTTACAAAGAATGTCTAAGTTATTTAATATACATAGATATTGTAGGTAAATATAATTAATTGTTTCTCAGCGTTTATTATTTGTTTGGCAATGATCTGAATCATACTTGCACGCTTTCATTATATGTATTCTGTAATCATAGTAATCACAATGTAAAAATAGTTTTACAAACCAGGGGTCACTTGATTTAAATAAACTTATATTGGAATACAACTGGATTCGAACCAGTCTATTAATATAATATTTTGAAAATTGAACAAAATAAAGCTTTTTTATCAATCATTTCAAAATTTATAAAGGGTAAATTTCTTATAAAAATCTCAACTTAAAAGTCTTATCGAATAAAGTACACACTGTTTCTTCGAATAAACATAATCTTCAAAATAAGCTGGTTACCTTTGTTTATCATTTAAAACTTGGATACGAACTTTTAGAATATCAAGTGAGAAAGAAGTCGGACCTCTTTTTGCTACACAAATTCTAAACAATACATGCATGTATAATATTACGTATAAGTTAATAAACTTCTTGTTCTAAATGACCACTGAATGTCGTATATGATTCTACGAGGTCGGATATACCAGTAGTGCATCTATCTAACATCACCACATCTCCAACCTTCAATTCTAAATACACTGACGTCGAAACTCCGTAAATTCCGTAGTCTGCACCGCTCTGTGGATCTGTATAAGCTATCACTTTCCTTGATCCGTTCAGATAAATGTAACATCAAGCATAGCCGACACTAGATGACTTTCTTTAAACTGACCTTTAATTTTCTCATTAATCTGCTTATGAACACTTTCAAACTCCGTCTTAGAATTCGCTACAATTTCGAACATTTCTGACGTCACATTTTTCTGTCGTTCAATTTCTTCCACATTCTCTTGTTTGTATTTCTCTAACTCTGCGGCAAACAACTTAGAACGTTCTTCTTTCTCCTTTTCTTCTCGCGCCTTTAATCCGTTTATAAAATCCTCAAATTTCTGAACTTTATCTTCAAATCGTAACTGTTTCATTAACATTTTCTCGTCATAGTCAAACCTCGAAAAACATTTTGGTTCTCCAGGTTCTCCGTTGACGACGGAAAGACAAAGTATCACGACGGAACAATATTTCAACAACATATTTACTTGTTACACCAGTGGAAAGATCCTTGCATGCACTTGTTCAATAGTAATATCGCATCAAGTGGCTACTACCCTTATGTTTGCTCGCTGATATAGTTACGAGAAAATAAATAGGATGAAATATTTAAGATTGTAATGGGCTGTTCATGATGTTAGCGAGATATTGAAAATATGTCAAAGTTTTTTTTGCAAACACAAGTGCGCTCCAAACCAATGCTTCTAAAAAAAAATATAAAGAAATACATGGCTCTGCTTAATAAACCTGGATTCAGGTTTTGTATGATCGCGTACAGTCCTTCCTTCCTTCCTTCCGTCCTTCCTTCCTTCCGTCCTTCCTTCTTCCTTCCTTTCCATCTCTCTTTGTTGCTTCCTTGCTTGCTTGCTTTCTTCCTTCCTTGCTTCTTTCCTTATGTGCTTGCTTGCTTCCTTGCTTGCTTGCTTCCTTCTTTCTTCCTTGAATATTGTCTAGCAAGCAGATAATAAATCATTGTCCTATGGAAGAATTGTCTCATAAGTCCATAAATTTTATATTACCCGTCACAGCATATTATATGACTCGTCTATGTCAATGGTGTACAGTCAGACCCGTTTACCCATGCATTGGACATTTGTCTTATGGAGATGACTCATCTTTATTTATTGTTAAAATACGTTGCTGATATTTGCCTAAATTATGCTTAACTATAAAATCTTAATAAAATGCAAATTACGTGAATAAATATTTTCATAATATAAATAACAATTATTTTATATTTCAAAAGTATACATTCAAAATGACCCCCTTCTCCAAAATTACAAGAATTGTGTGTAGACGACTATATTGATTGGTATCACATTGTCAGCATTGTAATTTGTTCAGCAGAAAATAAGTCGTATCGCATTTTATTATAAACTCATATTTTTTTCCTAAATTTCACGCAAATCTTGAAGTGCATATACGCTTCAACGGATATAAAATTCAGTATTATGTATATGACAAATACGGTACCGTATATGGAAGTGTCGGACTATTTTTGACGTTGATTCTGATCTTAGCTGCGTATAACGTAGCATTTGGCAACGGGAACCAAAATTATTAAAGGCATGGCCGGTTTTGCAAATTACGTGTTCATTAATTTATTTCATGACACTTATAATTTATTTTCTGAAATTACTTATAAAAGTGAAGTATATTGAAAATCATTTTTCGCTTAAAACAAATAGGTATATAATAAAAGGATAACTATGTTGCAGTAGCTTTCTGAGACTATGTATTTATCTACTCGCAACGGTCTCGCAAAATACAAAGACTCAGAAAACTACTAACTCGATATATTTTAAAAAGGGGAAATACACTCGTTCCCCTTTTTAATGAACTATTTTTACATTATTTTCAGCTAAAGTAATGGTATTGTTTTGTGAAAAGTAAAAGACAAACAGCTAAAGAAAACATCCAAATTTTATTTTTTGTTTCTTTTGCAAATGTTTTCGGGGGAACCATTCCCCCGAAGAACAAAAGCCATGTACAGAATACAACATGTTTTGATAAATATAAAGCAATTTTTCAGTAATAAGAGATACATTATGCTTAAGGGGGAACCATTCCCTCATCGAAATAAAAAGTAAATTTCAAAACTTAACATAACATATTTTCTAAAGGGGAACCGTTCCCCCTTAACAAAATAGATATAACAATTTGATAGAATAAAATGCAATAATTTAGAAATTCAGAGCCATGTAAATGGTAAGAGGGAACCGTTCCCTCCTCAAAATAAAAAATAAATTTCAAAACTTATCTATAACAAATTTTCTAAAGTGGAACCATTCCCCCTTAACAAAACTGGTACATGTATAACAATTTGATAGAATGAAATATAGTAATATAGAAATTAGAGAGCCATGTTACCGGTAAGAGGGAACCGTTTCCTCATTGAAATAAAAAATAAATTTCTAAACTTATCTATGACACATTTTCTAGAGTGGAACCGTTCCCCCTTAAAATATATATAACAATTTGATAGAATAAAATGCAATAATTTATAAATTACGAACAAGGTTACAAGTAAGAGGGAACCGTTCCCTCATCGAAATAAAAGACAAATTTCAAAACTTAACTACGACACATTTTCTAAAGTGGAACCGTTCCCCCTTAACAAAATAGATATAACAATTTGATAGAATAAAATGCAATAATTTAGAATTTAGAGCCAGGTTACCAGTAAGAGGGAACCGATCCCTCATCAAAATAAAAAATAAATTTCAAAACTTATCACTTACCAATTTTCTAAAGTGGAACCGTTCCCCCTTAACAAAACAGATAAAACAATTTGATAGAATAAAGTGCAATAATTTAGAAATTTAGAGCAAGGTTACCGGTAGGAGGGAACCGTTCCCTCATCGAAATAAAAAACAAATTTCAAAACTTATCTGTAACACTTTTTCTAAAGTGGAACCGTTCCCCCTTAACAAAACAGATATAACAATTTGATAGAATAAAATGCAATAATTTAGAATTTTAGAGCCATGTAAATGGTAAGAGGGAACCGTTCCCTCATCAAAATAAAAAAATAAATTTCAAAACTTATCTATGATACATTTTCTAAAGTGGAACCATTCCCCCTTAACAAAACAGATATAACAATTTGATAGAATAAAATGCAATAATTTAGAATTTAGAGCCAGGTTACCAGTAAGAGGGAACCGTTCCCTCATCAAAATAAAAAATAAATTTCAAAACTTATCACTTACCAATTTTCTAAAGTGGAACCGTTCCCCGTTAACAAAACAGATAAAACAATTTGATAGAATAAAATGCAGCTATTTAGAAATTGAGAGCAAGGTTACCGGTAAGAGGGAACCGTTCCCTCATCGAAATAAAAAACAAATTTCAAAACTTATCTGTAACACTTTTTCTAAAGTGGAACCGTTCCCCCTTAACAAAACAGATATAACAATTTGATAGAATAAAATGCAATAATTTAGAAATTTAGAGCAAGGTTATCGGTAAGAGGGAACCGTTCCCTCATCAAAATAAAAAAATAAATTTCAAAACTGATCTATAACAAATTTTCTAAAGTGGAACCATTCCCCCTTAACAAAACTGGTACATGTATAACAATTTGATAGAATGAAATGCAGTAATATAGAAATTTAGAGCCATGTTACCGGTAAGAGTGAACCGTTCCCTCATCGAAATAAAAAATAAATTTCAAAACTTATCTGTAACACTTTTTCTAGAGTGGTACCGTTCCCCCTTAAAATATATATAACAATTTGATAGAATAAAATGCAATAATTTAGAAATTTAGAGCCAGGTTACCAGTCAGAGGGAACCGTTCCCTCAACAAAATAAAAAATAAATTTCAAAACTTATCACTTAACAATTTTCTAAAGTGGACCTGAACCATTCCCTCCTCAAAATAAAAAATAAATTTCAAAACTTATCTATAACAAACTTTCTAAAGTGGAACTGTTCCCCTTAACAAAACAGATACATGTATAACAATTTGATAGAATAAAATGCAGTAATATAGAAATTTAGAGCCATGTTACCGGTAAGAGGGAACTGTTCCCTCATGACAACTTAACCAAAATTCAATAATTTGAACTTGACAGTCAATGTGATTTAAAGCTCAAGGTCAAGGTCTGTTCAACCTTTCAGCATGTCTTGTCCAAATGGTTGTTTTGTCTAAGTTTGAAATACTCCGTTGATTACTTACAAAGTTACAGCCAACAAGAGGACCAAAATGACCCTAGATCGCTCACCTGACCCATCAAACCCATATTATATTAAACTCCTGTGACCTAGTATTTTATCTGAGATGACACATGTTCGAACTCATCCGAGCAATTACCTAGACAAGCATCCTGACCAAGTTTCATGACAGGTGAGTCAAACATGTGACCACTAGAGTGTTAACAAGGATTTTCCATATTTGAGCAGTGTGACCTAGTTTTTGACCCCAGGTGACCCATATTCAAATTTGACATAAAAATCATCAAAACAAACTTTCAGTCCAGGATATTTGGATGAAAACAGTAGCCATTAGAGTGTTAACAAGATTTTTCTATTTTTAGCTCCTGTGACCTAGTTTTTCATCTGAGATGACCCATGTTCAAACGCAAGCTCAGGTGAGCTAAAAAGAATAACAAAGTTACAGCCAAATAAGCAAATATCAAGCAAAATTGATAGTTTAAACATTTGACACCGTGACTTGGAAGGTCAAGATATTTTAAGACTCAAGGTCAAGTTCAGTCTGGTCTACTTGAAGGTCTTGTCAAAAGGGTTGTTGTGAAGAAAATTGAATCCATTTTGTAATGAAATAATTGCCAATGTTAAAGTTTTAGGATGACAACAAGAAAGTAAGGCATGACTGTACATAGCAATAGCTCACACTCTTTTATTCTTAAAAAAAATTGAGCTGAAAACTAACAAGAGCACCGCTAGGCCAAATGTGGGCCAAATGGAACTTAAGTTATTCTCCGGAAACTGTTTTCACTTTTAAAGTAATAGTGACCTTGACCTCTGACCTTGTGATCCCAAAATCAATAGTGGTGTTCTACCCAATATGGCCAATCATCCTATAAAGTTTGAATACTGTGGGCCAAATGGAACTTAAGTCATGTTCCGAAAACTGTTTTCAGTTTTAAAGTAATAATGATCTTGACCTCTGACCTTGTGACCCCAAAATCAATAGGGGTCTTCTACCCAATATGGACAATCATCCTATGAAGTTTTTATATTGTGGGCCAAATGAAACTTAAGTTATGTTCCGGAAACTGTTTTCAGTTCTAAAGTAATAATGACCTTGACCTTTGACCTTGTGACCCCAAAATCAATAGGGATTTTCTACCCAATATAGACAATCATCCTATGAAGTTTGAACACTGTGGGCCAAATGGAACTTAAGTTATGCTCCGGAAACTGTTTTCAGTTTTAAGGCAATAATGACCTTGACCTTGTGACCCCAAAATCAATAGGGGTCTTCTACCCAATATGGACAATCATACTATGAAGTTTGAACACTGTGTGCCAAATGGAACTTAAGTTATGCTCCGGAAACTGTTTTCAGTTCTTGACCTTTGATCTTGTGACCTCAAAATCAATAGGTGTCTTCTACCTAATAATAATATGGACAATCATCCTTGGGTAACAGTATTTTCTTCGGGATGATATTTTTACTGTTACTAACAAACCCATGTGTTATTTATATACTGATACCCAGTCACACAAGTACCTCTGGGTTCGTACGGAGGAACAGATGCCAGGGGGTATAACATAATATGCCCGAAATTGTTTCGGGCATATTAAAATTCAACACATCATTTCTCCCCTAATGAGATTTATCCATCTATAATGTATTAAGTTTCACTAACATGTAGATATATACCTCCTCTTGGTGGATGGATATATGGACATTCCGACACATTTACTAAGTTGTTATAAAGTTTTGAAAACATAATGCTTCCTAGTGTTTTACTGCATTATAATGTTTGTTCATTCAACATGTTGTTAAACATGCACATTTTTGCACTAAAATTGCACCTTTCAACATCTCTCTTTACAGCCATATAGCCATATAGATATTGTTACCAAACAATATTCAACAACCATCTTCAGTATATCAAATGAAAGTTTCAACAAAACTTATGCAAAGTTTAAGCACATGTTCCATTGCTCCTCTACGATGAATAGGGAAAATCTTCTTGACAACAATATCTGAAAATAAACAAACAAGAGGGCCATGATGGCCCTGAGGTCGCTCACCTGTATATAGGCCCCCCAACCCCCCCCCCCCCCAACGTTGCAGAGCCAATTTAACCCAAGGGCTTTTATTTGCACAAACTTGGTAGACACCCATAAGAAGATGTTTCATGCTAAACATTTAAGCTCTAGCTCATTGGGCTTTTTAAAAGAAGATTTTTTTAAAGTTTTTACTATACACATATAGTTAAAAACAATGACACCCCTGGGGCCGGGCAAGTTTTGACCCCAGGGCTTTTATTTTATTTCAACTCTAGCTATTTGGGTTTTTTCAAAGAAGATTTAAAGTTTTTGCTAAACACATATAAAGAAAATCAATGACCCCGGGGCGGGGCCAATTTTGACCCCTGGGCTTGTATTTGAACAAACTTGGTAGACACCTATTAGAACATGTTTGATGCTCAATATCTTGGCCATAGCTCTTTGAGTTTTTTAAAAGAAGATTTTTTAAGTTTTTACTATATGCATATAGGGAAAATCAATGACCCCCCGGGGCGGGGCCAATTTTGACCCCAGGGCTTTTATTTGAACAAACTTGGTAGACACCCATTAGAACATGTTTCATGCTAAATATCTTAGCTCTAGCTCTTTGGGTTCTTTAAAAGAAGATTTTTAAGTTTTTACTATATGCATATAGGGAAAATCAATGACCCCCAGGGGCGGGGCCAATTTTGACCCCAGGGCTTTTATTTGAACAAACTTGGTAGACACCCAATAGAAGATGTTTCATGTCAAATATCTTAGCTCTAGCTCTTTGGGTTCTTTAAAAGAAGATTTTTAAGTTTTTACTATATGCATATAGGGAAAATCAATGACCCCCGGGGCGGGGCCAATTTTCACCCTAGGGCTTTTATTTGAACAAACTTGGTAGACACCCATTAGAACATGTTTCATGCTAAATATCTTAGCTCTAGCTCTTTGGGTTCTTTAAAAGAAGATTTTTAAGTTTTTACTATATGCATATAGGGAAAATCAATGACCCCCCGGGGCGGGGCCAATTTTGACCCCAGGGCTTTTATTTGAACAAACTTGGTAGACACTCACTAGAAGATGTTTCATGCCAAATATCTAAGCTCTAGCTCTTTGATTTCTTTAAAAGAAGATTTTTTAAGTTTTTACTATATGCATATAGGGAAAATCAATGACCCCCGGGGCGGGGCCAATTTTCACCCCAGGGCTTTTATTTGAACAAACTTGGTAGACACCCATTAGAACATGTTTCATGCTAAATATCTTAGCTCTAGCTCTTTGGGTTCTTTAAAAGAAGATTTTTTAAGTTTTTACTATATGCATATAGGGAAAATCAATGACCCCCCGGGGCGGGGCCAATTTTGACCCCAGGGCTTTTATTTGAACAAACTTGGTAGACACTCACTAGAAGATGTTTCATGCCAAATATCTAAGCTCTAGCTCTTATGGTTTTTTAAAAGAAGATATTTAAAGTTTTTTCTTTCGGTTGCCATGGCAACCAGAGTTTTGCATGGAATTAAATTCTTTGAACAATTTTTAAAGGTGACCACCAAAGGAACATTCCTGTGAAGTTTGGATGAAATTGGCTCAGTGGTTTATGAGGAGATGTCATTTAAAGTAAAAGTTTACGGACGGACGGACGGACGGACGACGGACGGACGGACGCCGGACGAAAAGCGATCACAAAAGCTCACCCTGTCACTTTGTGACAGGTGAGCTAAAAAACTATTTTACTTTTTTTATATTTCAAAATTTGATAAATAAAGTACTTCATATGATAATTCTTAAATAAATTTAAATTCTGAATAAGATATGCATTTCCTTCAAAAGACAGACATTTATTTAGAGGCCAAATTATTCAAACAAATTTTCTAACTAAACTTAAGATTAATAATTATTTATATCTACAATTGCATATTAATTATAGTCCATATAAAAATTTTTTATTGCATCATTATTTTTTGTGTAAGTGAGAGGTTAAGGACAGGAATCATTGACAAATTTCTTTATAGGGCCAAGCTATTTTTACTTAACAAAATATATGCTCTCTTTAGAGGTGATATATAAAAGAGTAATTGATCTTAAATTTCCTCAAGACAAGAGGACTGTGATGACTATAGAGTTTCACATGGTTGATGAACAAAACAGGCAAAGAGAATTGTATTTGGTAAAGTACTGTCTAAAGTATCATTTTAGCACATTTTGTAGATATTGTACAAGTACTTACTTAATTTAACTGTGACCAGTATATCTAGTTGTTGAAGGTAACCATTTTTATCCAAGATATGACCTGAAATGTGGTTAATATTTACATTATAACAATTAACAAATGCATATTTAATGTGGTCCAAAGGAATGCTGTAGTAACTGGAACAATACTGTCTCAACCAATATCAGATATTTGATGTATATTCAATTCAAAGAACAGAGTTCAGATAAGCAGACAATGGGGTGTGCTTGGCTTAGATAAGTTGACTTCAAATCACTTGCAACTCACTGCTCTGAGTTTGAATACCACTGATGACTATGTGTACTTTCATGTGAGGAAACTACATAAATCAAACAAGCTTACAGAATGTTGGTTTATCTACTCAGGTACCTGCTCATGCCTGACATAATGCATCACTGCTATGACTTTGACCGAGGGACATAAGTACAGCACGCAAAACATCATCTACTAATGGTGGCGCAGCATTAACCAATTCATTTTGAAATCCTATCATTCATGCAGAAGTTAAAACCCTAAAATCCCTTAAACACTACAACAACTTTGTACTTGATAAGTCAATTCACTTACATTTTCTTCTTTTGATTAGTTTGTTATCACTTGTCTCCTCCATCACATCTATTTTGCTTGGCTCAGTTTACAGGCTTGGACCCTAAAATTTTAAGCAACTATTTTTTAACTGTTGTACCATTACAAACTAATTCAATTGTGTTATAGTATTTAAATTTTAGGAAAATAATAAGAGTAAATAAATACAGATAAATGCTAAACCTGCTAAATTTCTGAAATAAGACTTTGTCTAGCTTTCATTTATAAAACTTCCATTATCAATTTTGTTAGCTAAACAATAAAGCCTGGCTCTTTAAAGGCTGCAGTGGCTACCATTCCAGCTGACCAGCAGGTTTCTATGAAAGTTAATGGTACTGGTTGCTATATAGAAAATAAAATTTTGCTATCGAAGTCACTGGTTCTTATGAAAAGTCTGTAACTGATATGAAAAGAAAAGAAAGCCAACAGTTGCTATGGAAAGATAAAGGTTGCTTTGGAAAATAAGTCACTAGTTGCTATGGATACCACTGGTTACTAAGGATTAAGTTGATGCTGGTAGAAATAATAGGTACATGTTCTTGAGAAATGTATTTCAAGGGTCATTATGGAAATTACTGGTTATTAAGGGAAGTCAATTTCATCATGGAAAGTCATGGTTGCTATGGCAGTCTCCAGTTAGTATGAAATATCACTAGTTGCTATGGAAAGTAAATGGTTGCTATGGGAGTCATTGGTTGCTTTGTAAAGTCATAGATTGCTACTTAGCAGTCACTGAATGTTATGAAAAGTCACTGGTCCCAGTGTCAGCATTTTCCCCCCTACTTTGTTAATCGTGCCTGGTACCAAACAAATTGGGAAAAATGCATAGCATGCACTCAAATTGAGAATTTAACATAATATACACCAAGCATTCATGGGGAATTTTCTAATCCAGAGAGACATTAGTATTATGCATAATATACACTTTTAATAGGGCTGTCATTGATGGCAAATTTTGTATCGATATATCGAGAGACAAATATCGACGTCACGATACATCGATATATGGACTTTGACAGTGGATACAATAAAAAACATTAATTTTATATATGTGTTATAAATTGGGATCATGGTGTTATCACTGTTATGCATACTTGTATTACACATTTCAAATACTACAAACTAGCAGAAAGTTTTTTTTCTGTTATTCTAAAATGTCACTGACATTTGAAAACGGAGTTTAAAGTTCAAGTTAACCAAGACTAGAACTCCGCGAGTCGGATGTGTCGCCTTGTGAACAATGTAGTTTAGGAGAAATGGCCAGTACAAAAATGAAATATGAAAAATAACAAAGGGCAATAACTAAAAAATAATAAGTGCAGAGCAGCAGTTTCTGTGCACTGCACTTCTTATCAATAAGATCTATCATTCTATGATGTTTCAAGTCCATAGCTTTCATAATTGAGGAGAAATGACCAGGACAAAAATAAAGTAAGAAAATCAACAAAGGGCAATAACTCAAAAAATAAGAAATGCAGAGTATCAGCTCTTATGCACTGCACTTTTTCTTAATGAGATCTATCATCCTATGAAATTTCAAGTCCATAACTTTTATACTTTCGGAGAAATGGCCTGGACAAAAATTAAGTATGAAAATTAACAAAGGGCCATAACTCAAAAATTAAGAAATGCAGAGTACCGATTCTTGTGCACTGCACTTCTTCTTAATAAGATCTATCATCCTATGAAGTTTCAAGTCCATAGCTTTTATACTTAAGGAGAAATGGCCCGGACAAAATTAAAGTATGAAAATAAACAAAGGGCAATAACTCAAAAAATAAGAAATGCAGAGTACCTGTTCTTGTGCACTGCACTTCTTCTTAATGAGACCTATCATCCTATAAAGTTTCAAGTCCATGGCTTTTATACATTAGGAGAAATGGCCCGGTCAAAAATAAAGTATGAAAATTAACAAAGGGCAATAACTCAAAAAATAAGAACTGCAGAGTACCGGTCCTTGTGCAGTGCACTTCGGGTTATTGAAAGAAGCATGCATACCAAGTTTGAAGTCAATCAGACTTATAGTGACTGAGTTATGCTCCGGACAAGCTTTAGGGGACGCCGACACCGACAACGACGCCGACAACGACACAGACGCCGCCAACGCCGCCGACAAAAGTAACCCCTATATGTCACCTTTTCAAGGCGACACAAAAACTAGAAAAAAGTGACTTCTCTTATGAGCCAAAATATGTAGGGTATAGTTAAACTAACAGAAATATTAATTTTTTCAGTTTGTATCGATATGTGAAAGTGTGTATCGATATCGTATCGCATGATGAATATTGATGATATATCGATATCGTTTTTCCCCTTTGGCTACAATTGATTACTATTTTTTCAGAATTTTGTTCCCGTTATTTTTGTCAACTATCAGGTATAGTCCAGATATAATGTTCACGGTGTTGAGTCTTTTGACATGTATAGGTGGCATAATAATGGGCGTATATGTGTTTTGATTTGTTAACATGGAGAAAACAGACACTTAAGTAATATGGTCCAACTGATTTTGCCTTTTTGAATGAAAAAAAGGGAAAATTTTAAAGGGGTTTCAGGCAATAAATACAAAATGATTAAAAAAATCTTAAATAGTCTCAAATCAGCCTAAAAAGCATTTCTGGGAAATTTCAGCTTGAATTTTTGTTTAAAATTTTATATTTTTGGGGTTTTAAGCGTAAATATATTATATATAATGAACAAAATTTAGACGCCAATAGAATCACCAAATAGTTTTTAAACAAGTCAGTTGACTTGAACAAACCATTGAAGTTACAATAACAGATATTGTGGATATTGTATGATTGAAACAAGCCTAAGTCATTCATTAATTGACATGTTCTTTAACGTTTCCAGAGTTCACTTTGACAACTATTGACAACTGAAATGCTAGCGCTCTAACCTGACCCACGCAGGTCAAGTTAGGAATCCACCATTTTATTCTCGCATAATATATCCCGCTCGCATAATATGAAAAGATATTCAAAGGTCGGACAAACAATATGTAAAGCCTGGTACGGATTCGGATTTATGCGCCGCAATATGCGGTCCTGTTCCAGAGTTCCTATGGTTTCCACATAAGCTTGATATATATTCCAACTACATGTCTTTTTTTGTATCAACTCAGCATATATGCTTTATATTATAGTGTAATGGAATTTAAGTCAAGCCAGTTCTATGTCATTTGTCAGCCATCAGGGCACAGTCAGACATACATGTGTATTTGAAAAAAATGGCAGTTATGATTTAACCCATTTCCAGATATATATGCCTTTCTATACCCCCACCCCTAACCCCCTAAAATGCTAATATTTTCCTCTGATAGAAATGCCCTGTGCACTTCTTCATCAGCACCATAACTTAACAACAGTTAAAGACAGAAACCTGTCCCTATAGATAGCCTTTGCTATATACCAGCATGCATGTCACATGTATTAAATTGAACTTAAATTTGAAAATTTTATAAAATGTGTGGGTATACTAAATTCCATTTTCAATGGTTGGAAAAACCCACCGGCAGCATAGTAATTGGGGATACGGACAAAAGCCCACCCCCCCCTCTAAAAATGACAAGGTGGACAAAAGCCCCCCCCCCATGAAATATACACTTAGGACAAAAGCCCCCCCCCCCATCAAAAATACAGGTAGGACAAAAGCCCCCCCCCCCATCAAAAATACAGGTAGGACAAAAGCCCCCCCCAGTCCATGAAACATTGTTATTGAGAATCTCGTCAGTTTAATTCCAGAACTTGATGTATTGAGACAAGTCAAATGCATTTGTTTTAAAAGATAATTTACATTAAGATTTAAATTTAAAGGTACAAAAGTTCTAATTTGATTTATTGTGTAATTCGTATATGATTCATTGATGATATGAATGTTTTGATGTTTATTATTTATTATATACTTTGAAATGAAATATTGAGAAATATTGATGAAATAAAATGCGTATTTTCATTTTCCGTATTTTCACTGTAAAAATTTATTTTTCACTGCAGTGAAACATATTTTCCGTATTTTCACTGGTGTCTTGCCGGACTACGTACTTTCTTTTAAATTCTGCCAGTACTCAAAATTTAAGGAAAAGTCTTGCAAATTTTAATGTCCAGAAAGAGAAAAATGTATATAATAAACAGAAAATTCAAGTTTTTTTCTATAAATACATGATTTATTTTCATCTTGTGGCATGAAAATTACCATATTTCACTCGTGGCTACCGCCACTCATGAAATATTTATTTTCATACCACTCGATGAAAATAAATCATGTATTTATAGAAAAAACTTGAATATCCTCTATATATTGTACAGTACAAAATTAATGTAAAATAAAATGAATATTTTCAGAGAATCATTTATCAATGCTTATCAAGGAAATAAAAGTGGAAGGCGCATACTTGTCCAGATTTATTTGAAGTATAACCCAAGTTCCCTAACACTGGGCATGTGTCCTACACTCCAAAAAAAACCTCTAGTAGATCTAATTGATTTTGGTTTAGCAGTAGGGGAAAACATCTTATCCCTGTGCCCCAACCCAACCACTATATTATTTACAAGATTTATTCCGTATTCTTTTATGTAGATCTATTATATAAACAGTATAGATCTAGTAGATAGCCGATACAATTATACTGCGGCGGCACGAAATACCCAAATATACCCAAATGCACCCAAATATAGCAATATTTATTTTTGTTTGTATAAAACATAGATTATAATGAGAAATAAATAAATATTTATTAAATATAATATGATATAATATGACTTAGCCTGCTATAATTTTCATTCATTCCGTTGAAATGGACAGTTACGATGTTGTAAGAAAATAACGTTGTGACATTTGCTTATCTTAGTACTACCTGGGACATACTTATCTTATGTCCCAGGTACTACATATAGGTTCTTTATGAATGTACTTGCAATTTTAAATCAAGATATGATATTTGTTGTCTACACTTACATTT